GTGGGGCTCCTCCCTGCCCTGCAGCTCCAGCAGGTGGAGTGTGATCCAGGAACACAAGGGGCTGGAGACACGGCGCAACTCCCTGGCAGGGGGAAAAAGGCACCATCAACCTGAGCCAGGTGGGTAAAACCTCTGCTGGGATGGACTCACAGAGGCCTGGTCTTTCCCCACCAGCTCAGGAGGTGATGAGGGCACTCTGGGAGGCGGCTCCTCCTGTGCCCCCGCCTCTCCCAGCCTTTTCCACTCTGTTCAGCCATCCCTGGGTGACAAGGCCCTCTGGCCCACGACCATGGGCACTGTGGGGGTGCCCGGTGCACAGGCAGAAATGACAGGGGCAGCGGGGACAAGGGTGTCTCACCTGGCCAGCAGACCCACTGCGTAGTGGTGGGTGTCAGGCCTGAGGAGCGTGTCCCAGCCACGCTTGCGTTCCATCAAAACCACCACATCCTCACATTTGAGATGGCAAAGCAGGGCCTTCATGGTCACCACTGCAAACCTGTGTGCAGAGCAAAGGCCAGGTCATACTGGGAGCCCTGACCCAGCCCCAGGGGCATGGAAGACACAGGAGGACTGGGATGGAGCACCTGCTGGGCTTGGTGGGAAGGTTGTGTTGCTCCTGGCACCCCCTCCAGAAGGCGTCAACCTCCTCTGGCATCTGCTCTGTGCTGACAAGAATTTGGAAGAGCAGAGCCACGAGGAGATGAGGGGAGTACTCCATCAATGGCACTGGGCACCAGATCATCTGGAGGATCTCCCAGATCACCCTGGTTGCCTGCAAAAGATAAACCACCCGGACCAGCTCTCAGTGCCCAGATGTCCATGTGGCAGGAACCGATTGTGGGAGGGAGACCCCATGGGAGACTCACGGGGAGCCCCTGGCCTGGTGCCCCTGAACCTGGCCCTAACCTACATTCCCAGCCCCGTGTCTGAGGCAGGAAGATGCAGTGCTGGGGAGGAAGGAGACCCACTGGAGAGGTGACCTGGGAAGGAGCCAAAGCCCATTGCAGAAACTCACAGCCAGAGCAAAGACAGGCGTGTTGTCCCCGTCAGAGGTGGATGAGCTGTGCAATGGCCAGTCCTCCATCACACAGAGCAACTCTGGCAGCACCTTCTCCAGTGCCATTCCCGACGAGGCGATGGTCCTCCA